ATAGATAGATAGATAGATAGATAGATAGATAGATAGATAGATAGATAATAGGACAGACAGAATGATGGTGATGGTAATGATGATCAGTTAAGAAAAATTCTATCAGTTCAGAAAAAGAAAAATCTGAGCACCATCTAATTACACAGAGGAAATGATGCTTTGTTCAAAAATAATTCCTGTGAATTAGGCATGTGGTCCCAGCACTCAGGAGGCTAAGATATAATGATTGGGAACCCCAGGTTATCTTGGGCTACAAACCCAAAAAATCATCACCACCACAACAGCAATGACAACAATAACAACAACAACAACTCAGGATCATACTTTGTTTTATGTCATTTTTGCTTTTCAAGAAAAGGTTTCCCTGTGTAGCTCTGGCAGTCCCAGAACTTGATCTATAGACCAGGCTGGCTCTGTAACAGAGATCAGCCTGCCTCTGCCTCCTGAGTGCTGGGATTAAAGGCGTGCGCCACCATCACCTGACATCAGACTCATATTGATACTGCTTTTTAATAAAAGATTAAAAATACCTGAGGGCTAGGAGACAGGTCCATGAGAAAAGTGCTTGCCTCACAAGTTGTGAAGACCTGAAGTTCAAAGCCAGGCATGGTAGCTCACATTAGAAATCCAGTGTTCCTATGACCAGACAGGAAACTCCCCATATGCTGTGGTTCAGCTAGTCTGGTTTAGGCAGCAGAGAACAGCAGAGACACTTGGTCTCAAACAAGATGAAAGGCAAGAACAAACACCCAAAGCTGTCCTCTAACCCCGTGTGCACACCTGAATTCACACCAATGGACACAGTTGAATGTGTACACATGCACACTCACACACAGACACAGCCTAATAAGTTTTCTAATATGTTTTGGATCTGCTGTATATTGCTTCATTCACACTGTAAATATTTACCTTGGGTAACTAGGGAGATGAGAGAAATTTGCTGTACATATGCAGATGTGAACCTATTTTACTCAAGCATCTGCAGGCCTGGAAGCAGAGTTAAGAAGCTAAGTCTCCACCTACTCTGGACTCACTGCGGAGAGTGGATCTCTCCATAAAAACGAAATCCCTAAAGTCAATGTGTAAATGTGCATATACTCAGATTACAAAAACTAATATCCAAGAAATTCTGTAGGGCACTAACTCTGAGAAACAGCCATGTTCCCAAGGATATTTTGAAATGTACAGAACTCTCCTCCACTGATTCAGAGTTCCTCTGGAATAATCATTTGCTAAACACTGCCCAGTTTACAGATTCTGATTCCTTCAAACTTCATCTTACGTGACTTGGCACTGTGGCCAGAGTTGTTTCTGACCCTGAGGAGGGTTCTTCCCATCATCAATGACTAATCTCAATGTTACCTTTGCCCCACACTCTTACCAGACAGGAGACAGACGCTTCAACACGAAAACTTAACCAAAGGTGCCAACTGTACTCAGGCAGCAGAACAGTACCATCTATGCCAGGAGAGCACCTGAGAAAGGCAAACCAACCTACATTGCTCACCACACACTAAGAAGTCAGTGTCTCTGGACATCTCCAACCCGGCTACTACAATTACATTACATCTAGGTTGGTTCTAAATGCTTACGAGCCAAGAAAGAGAATACGGATCTTTATAGACGGCTTCTATAAGAATGACTATATAAATCACTGAGGCTTGTGGCAAGCATGATGACACACAACTGTAATCCAAGCACTCCAGAGGGCACATGTTTAAGGTCAGGTTAGCTACACGCAGATTAGCAGCCAGGGAGAAACGTGCATTTATACATGCATGTATGCAGTAGCTCCGTTCAAATATCAGCCAAATAAAGCAGTGTTTTGTTTCCTCTGACATTATATACATCACATATGTAAGATGTGGGATAGCAGGGTCATCTTGGGAGTATAGAACAGAGCTTGGGCCCAGAGTTCAACTCCTGTATGTTATTTTAATTTAATAGAAGGAAGCCAATGTACCTGTAATACCACGCAGAAGACAAAAGCAGGAGGTGTAGAAAGTTTGAGGCTAGCCTGGGCTACACATAGAGCATGTTCCAGGACAGACTGGGCTACATATTTCAAAACACTAACTGGAATTTCAAAACAGAAAGAAAAACATATGAATAACAGAAATTGATATTTTCTGATGAGTTTCTTCTATCTTATATGGAAGGAAAACAAAATTAAGTCAAAAAACAAATAATCAGACCTTGAGTCTCAAAAACAAAACAAAAACACCCCCAAAACAACGGATGAGCCTCCATTCCCATCCTCCCTGATCAAGTTTGATCTGGATCACGTTGAGACTACACCCAGCCTCTCCCAACAAGGCCCACTCAGGCAGATCAGGCTGAAATAGTGTAAAGAACTCTAAGAGATGGGGCCTTATTCACTGTAGCCATGACTCCAGAGCACCCCAAGACTGACCACCTAAGACCCCCGTTAGTACAGAGCTACTCCGTGTTTATTCTCAGTTGCTTGGAACTCTCACCTCCTCTTGGTTTGCTCACACCAAGGTCTTAATAACGCGGCTTACATTTTCTTGGCACAATGCCAGGTCATAACCCCTATCTGAGTCTAGATTTTGCCTACAGATTCCTCTATAAGCCACCTCAATAACCTTTTACTAAATTGAATATGATATACAGGATAGCATAAAACACATAAACTCCCTAAAACACCCAGAAACAAGTCAGGCATGTGGTAGGGCCCACCTAGAATCCCCCAGCACTTGGAAGGTAGGGGTTCAGAACCAGTCTAGAACCAGACACCACAGTTCAGAACCAGACACCACAAGACCTTGTCTGCAACTCCCAACCCCAAAAGGAAACTGAGGCTCCCCTCACACTTCTTCCCATTCTCCCTCCCTGAGTGTAAGATCAGCTTTAAACTGTTATCAG